CTAAATAGTGAGGTGCTGTGTGTTTTAAAAAATGCTTGTGGCAAACTGGCTGAAACTCGCTGAGTTAGATGCTTGTAGAGACCGGTAACCCCATGGCACATAACAGAGACGAAGCCCTGCCTCGCGGAGCACAGGTTCCCGGCTAATTCTCTTACCGGCCAGGCTCTGCTGGGCGCCCCTCCCCCAGGTCAGCTCGTCCTCCCCACTCAATGCCGCGTGTCGCAGAGCCCAGGGGAAGGCTCACAGTTGTGCTGGACAAGGAGGAGCCAGCCCTGACCCCTCGCTCTCCACTGTCCGCAGCGACCCACCACTGAGTCCCGCCCACTCCACCTCTCCCAGAGTCCTCAGCGTCTCCCCTGCTCTGCACCACTCTGGCCTTGGCCTGGCTGCTAGTCCCCGCCACCACTCTCCCAGCCTCCTTCGGGGGCCTCCTGACCAGTCTGTCGGCTCCCACGTCCCCCAGTCCACTCTCCACTCAGCAGCCAGACAATTTAAAAACCTTGTTTTTACATCACTCTCAGCTGAAACCCCTTTAATGGTGGTCGAGCAAGAGGATGAGATGCTTCGCCTCCAGATCCAGCCGGAGGGCATGTGTCACTCACTAGCTTGGTGTCGGGGGTAAGATCTTGTAGCAGCTCTGTGTCCGGCCTCCATGGGTGGATGTGGATAACCAACCGCCCACGGACTAAGAGGGTAGGGAGGACGATGTGGGTTAACACGTGTGAGGTGCTCGGCACAGCATGGCGCCATCCCTGTCATCGTTATCATCATGTGAAGGCCAGCCCTTCTGACCCCTCCCACAGCCCCGTGCAGCCCCTGCTCTGTGCTCCAGATCCACCCCTCACCCCTGGGCTCTCTGCACACTGGCCCTTGCTCGGGCTCTTCCCGCTGCCCACCCTGCTCCACCTTGAGCCCAGCTCATCCCTCAGAGCTTCTTCAAGGCCATGCCCACAGCAGAGCTTCCCCTCGCCCTAGTCTACAGCAAGTCTGTCGTGTTCCCTCAGAGCATGTGTCCCATTGTGCTCACTCATTAGGATGGACATACAACAGTGCGTGTCCCGTCTGCACTGTGAGTTCCATGAGGGTGCTCAGTGCCCAGCACGTGCCTGGGACTCGGTAGGCGTCAGCGTCCATAAAATCTCTATAACAGAAAGGGCTTATCTAAGACCCCCGTGAGAGACCACTCATCACAAGCAAGGTCTCATTCGTCCAGATCCCATCACAAATTAGGAAGTGTGGCCACATGCCTGGACTTGAGTATTTGGTATCAACTCTTTCACCCTGTAACTCCCATTTCCCCAAACTGCCAAGGGCCCTGCCCAGCTTCTGCCAAGTGCTCAGCACAGCAGGAAAAGAACAGGAGGCTGGCGGGGCTTCAGGGCTGGCGGATGTGTCCTACCTGCAGGGTTTGCTGGCTGCCAGCAGGCTGGGCTCCCCAAGGCCGTTCCTAAGGATCCCAGCCGGGCAGCGAGCTCTCACAAACACTCCCTACGCAGCCACTGGGCACAGGACGTCCCAGCAGCAGCTTCACACACCTTGACTCTGTCCTGCAAGAAAAGACTGAACTGGGGAGGGAGAGTCAGCTTCCCAAAGGCAGACCTGAGATCGAGCGCCTGCCACAGTGGCCTTGACATATTCGCTTATGTGTGTTAAGTCCTTATGTATTAGAGAAACACACTAAAGAATTGGAGGGAAGTGGTATATCCGAGATTTGCTTTACAATGTCCCCACAGCAAAAGTGGTGGCAGTTGGGGGAATGGATGAAATGAGAATGGCGAAGTTCTGGTAGCAGAAGCTGGGTGAGAGAGGGTGGGGCACAGGCAGGGCGTGGGCGAAGGGCTTCGTTGTTCTGGATGCTATTTCTGAGCGAAAATACATGAGAAAACTTCCATAGCAAGTGTTTTAAATGGCCTCACAATATATTAAGTGGAAATTGGTAGAACTACAGGAATTCATTGACACGCCCACCACCGTGGTGGGGGCTCACAGCATGCGTCTTCCAATTATAGATAGACCAACAATCAGAAGCTCCATTTCATGGACATAAACAGACAACTAGAGAACAAAAAAGCTTTGACATGCACATGAAACACGTATAAAAATGGATCATATACTAGGCCACGAAGCGGGAAGTATCAATAAAGTTCAAAGAATCTGATTCATAGAGACTACGTTCTTGTAACAGTGCAGTTAAGGGAGGAATCAATACTGAGAAGTGGAGAACTGTCCAAACGCTTGGAATATTGAAATGAAGCCCAAAGAGCCCCCAGAGCAGAGAAGAGCCTCAGGATGAGGAATGAGAGCTTGTGAAGCGCCGTGGAAACGGCACTTGGAGGTAAACTTACGGCTTTAAATCAGTCAGCAAAGGACACATCTTCAGACGCTGGAAAAGTAACAGCAGTTTTTTTTTAAAAAAAGAAAGAAACATATAAAGACAAAAACAGAATTTACTTAATACGAAAGCAAAAAAAACCCCAAACATTTAAGACGGTCCATGATGTCAAAAGTTAGTCCCTGAAAAAGACCGAGGCGCCCAACCCATATTGGGAACAGCATGTCTATGAAGAACAAAGAGAAGGCACAAACGCATTAGGAATAGAAACAGGACTTACCCTCGGATATGGATTTTTAAAAGGAAATAAATAGGAATAATCGTATGACACTAAATTTGAAATTTTAGATGTATAGTTACTAGTAAAGAAAAGTATTTCTGCAAAGAAAACACTAAGCCAAATGGTTTTACTGGTAAATGCCATCAGCTTTCAAGCAACTCATCCCTCCTCTCATATACAAACACTTCTAGACATTTTTTTAAAAAAGAGGAAATACTCTCCTCCCTCTGCTGGCTCTCAACCACGGGGCTAGTACATTAAGACCCAAACAAGACAAGGAGAAGTCAAAGGAGAAATAGCAGGTCATCTCATTGAAGAAGAGTCCGACACACTTTCTTCCCCTTCCTCTAGAAAGTTGGTGTGTGAGCTGACAATCTCATATCACCAACATGGAGCCACTTAAGTCTGAAGTTCCTTTTTTGGGTTCACTTAGGAAAACATAAGCAGACCAGTCTAACGTTTAAGATTGCTCTTGGGGTCCCATTTATTTCATCTGCTTAAGTTTTCCTTGATTTGGCATTTTTCAGTGTTCTTAGTTACAAACAAAAGGAGGAATAAGTTAAATTAACCTAAGGTTTTATAGAGATAGACACAAGTTCTCTTTGTGTGTGTGTGTGTGTGTGTGTGTGTGTGTGTGTGTGTCTAGAGACATCTCATTTGGACCCCTAACCATAATGCAAATAGAATGTACAGAGAAGGAAAAGTAATTGTAGTATACTATACGGCTCAGCTGTGCACACCACGCCCTCAGCCATCACGCGTGCATGTGCACGTGTGTACCTGTGATAGTTTATCCGGCACATCTGCTTGTGGTGAAGGAGGTAACAAAGTACATCAGTGTCCGCAGTGCTGGAGCCAGAAGGCCTGCGCTGTCCTCCGGGGCCACAGCAGATTCAAGGGGGAAGCCCAGGTTGCACAGGTGGGAAGGCTTCCCAGAGCGTTTTTTAAGTGCTCTGTGGTATCAGCACTGGTGTTGGTTAATAGTTCTCCCACGATAAGCTCTCTGTAGCCAATTATGACACATTTGAAATATGGCACCTTCCGGTCTGTCTCTGTTTCATTATAGAAAACGAATCAGCAGGTGGGTTTGTGAAGGAGCTCTTCTTAGCGCCCCCTCTCTGCACCGCCTTTTGAGGACTGCCAGTTCCGAGCCCCGTTCTTTGTCCTCCTGGGAGGATTAAACTCAAACGCTCGTGTTGGTGAATGAATGAAGGTTAAAACCTCGCGGCGCACAGTGCAGGGTGGTCAGACATTGTGGGAATGTTTTCAAGGCCAGAAAGAAGACCTTGGCCAGCAGACAAAAACTGGTTCTAAAATGAAAGGGGAGGGAGGAACTAAAATATGACCATAAAAATAAAGAGCCAGGAAGAGTGGGTGGAATTGGAGCATAGGTAAAGCTCGCACACAATGTGGGAAATCTGACAATACCTAAATGTGAGTGATGCCAGCTCACCCGGGACCTTGGAAACATGCAGGTTCCTGGGGACTCCAGTGTGTAATTTAGGTTCCATAGTGTACGCTGGGCCCCCCATTGTGTGTTTGTACAAGGTTCCTGCCAAGCACCAGGGTCAGTCCTGCACGGACCCTGCCCCGGATTCCAGTGGAAATGCACCGACGTCACCTGGGAAAGTGGTCTCTCCACTTACTGGAGAAAGTCACAGAGGAGAGGGCCTCACTTCACCCCCATCCATAAAAGACACGCAGACTTGTGAGTTTTTGTTTTACACATCGATGCTGAGCTTTGTAGAGGATGACGGTGCCCAGATTTGGGGTCATTTGGGTGACATGTGGAAGCGACATCTCATTTGGGCACGTCCTTTTACCGTAAAAAATACACATGATGACACAGCCATAATGGGCTTGATTTGAAGTGTTTTCGCCTTAGGCCAAGTGGGACCCAGGAAGGGCGGGGTCCAGGCCCGCAGACTGATGCTGTCCGTGGTTCTGAACGCTCGAGCCGGCCTGGCCTGGACCTGCGGAGCAAGAAAGGGCGCTCCGTGGGTCACTCGCCACCAATTTCTTCTCCCCAGCACGAGCACTAGCAAGTGTGGCTCTTTGTATTTCTGTCCTGGCGGCAGATAGTCTTGTGTTGGGGTCATCACCCACCGCCCTCCTCCTACGCCCTGGACGGTGGACGATGGGCTGCGGGGCTTGGGCCTCATCCCACCCCAAGCCCGCGGGCTCCTGCTCCCGGAGCGCGGCGCCCCGCCTTCCCCGTGCCCCTTCCCCACCTCCCCTGGCACCGCCACCCGCTCCTCCCCCTCGGCCCCGCCCAGCGCGCCGGCAGCCCCCGATCCGGTCCCCAGAGCTGGGAAGCGAGAGGGGGCGAAGGAAGCGACACAAAGGGCGGAGCGGAGCGACCGGAGGAGGGGTCGCCGGGCGGGCTCGGGCGGGCGGCGCGGCATGGACGCCGAGTTCCCTGCCTTGGAGCCCCCGCTCTGCGGCGAGCTCAAGCACCTGTGCAAGCGGCTGCAGGAGGCGTACCACGAGCTGACGGAGGACCTCACGCCGCTCCGCGATGACCGCTGCTACTACAGGTGGGGCGCCGTGGGCCTGCGGCCGCGGCGGACCTGCGGGGCAGGCGGGCGGGGCGGGGCGCCGGGGCCTTGGCGGAGCTCGGGCCGGTGGCGGCCGCCCCACGGTGGCCCCGGAAAGGGGAGGAGGTGGCAGCGGCGGGCCGCGGAGTGCGGCTGCCTGGCGCCGGCATCTGGGGGTCTAGGGTGGATCGGGGGTGCGGTGAGGAGCTGTCTCCCCTCCCTAGAAACCTGCGCCGGGATTCCCATGTCCCGAGAAAGGCGCTCACAGGGCTTTCTCCCCGCTTCGCTCGCCATTCCTTTCCCATCTTCCTTCCCCTCCCCCGCCTCCGCCTCCGCCTCAGGCCTCGCTAGGTCCCGGTTGGAGGTGGCGATCTTGCCCGTCTGCCCTGCAGCGAGGGCCTTGGCCTCTGCTCCGCGCGGTCCTCAGCCCCTGGGCTTCGGAGGAAACTCGAAGCTGGGCCGCTGCTGGGGGTGGGGCACAGATGGCCTCGGGCTGCGCCGCGCAGCGCCTCCGTGCAGAGGCTGTGGGAGGCCGCCCGTCAGGGCCCACAGGAGCTGTTGCGTGGGGTTTGTCCGTGTCCATCTCTGTGCCCCTCTCCTGTGGCCAAGGTGACAGCTACGGACCCTAGTGCAGGGCGCCGCCCCTTCCTCCCGTCTTCGCTGTTCTCAGGGGTCCGCTGCCAATGGCTGGGCTTAGATGGGCCCCGTGTGCGAGAAGGGCCCTGCTCGGAGCTGGGAACTGAGGCCTAAATCGATTGCGTTGCTAATCAGCTCTGAGACTCTGAAGTCTCGGAAACCAGCTCTGCTCTCCAAGCTCCCTCGTGCGGGCGTGGGAAGCTGGAAGCAGAAGCTTCCTGAGACTCAGGATTCTGGTCACGGTTTGCTCTCTCTGCGCTTTGGGATGGTGAGTGTATCGGGCGGCCCGGAGAACAAGTATCCTCCTCCCCCCTCCCCTTGTATCACACCTTTCCCAGAGCCCAGTGGCATCGCTGGGCTCGCCTGCACTCCATTGACGAGCACTATAGAGGCCACAGTTATTGAGAGATTCTACAACAAAATGTAATTCCAAGTCATATGGTGTAGCTTTGGGATGTGCCTCAAAATCTGTCTCTTTGCAGCCTCCTGAGGGGCAGCGTAAATACCCAGAAACTCACAGACAGTTTTGAGTATTCTTTTCTTTTCGTTTTAATTTTTATTTATTTTAATTCTTTAGAATAAAATTTATTTATTTTAAAGATTTTCTTTTTAGACAGAGGAGAAGGGAGGGAGAAAGACAGAGGGAAACATCAACGTGTGATTGCCTCTTGCGCCCCCCACTGGGGACCTGGCCTGAAACCCGGGCATGTGCCCTAATCCGGAAATCAAACCTGCAACCCTTTGGTTCACAGGCCCGCACTCAGTCCACTGAGCCACACCAGCCAGGGCTCAGATCTTATTTTCTTAAAGATTTTATTTGTTTATATTTAGAATGAGGGGAAGGAAGGGAGGGAGAAAGAGAGAGAGAAACGTCAATGTGAGAGAGACACATCGATCGGTTGCCCTAACTGGGAATCAAACCCCAACCCCGGGCGTATGCTCTGGAGTAGAACCAGTGACCTGTTGCTTTCTGGGATGATGCGCACAACCAGTTGAACCGCACCTGTCAGGGCTCAAATCCTATTTTCGATAGGTTCCAGTCTCCTTTCCCACTGATTCCCTCCACTCCACTTTTCCCTGTATTTCAGTTTCTTGGGAACATATCCTTGGCAGAGGAGGTGGTGAATAGTGAAGTGGCCGAATGCAGGCAGCAGAGGAGAGCTCAGTGCCATGTCATCGATTAACCCACAGTCGGATCACCCTTGTTCACTAGCCCACTTATTTCACGAATGGTTATTGAGCACACCCATGGTTCCACTATTGTTCTAGATGGTGGTGATGCGGTGGCAAGCAGACAAACCGGGCCCCTGCTGCCGTGGGGCTTGTGGGTGACAAGCAAGTAGTTACGCATTGCTATGAGTGCCAGGAACATAATGAGCCCAGTGATGTGGTAACGTGTGCTTTTGAGAGGGCGACGTTTGACTGAGAACTGAATAATGAATCGCTCACTAGACAGTGAGCTGGGAGAGGAAATTTCCAGAAGAAGAAGGACAAGTGCAAAATCCCTGGGCCCACCCAAACGTGGTTCTTTCAAGGAGTGGCCAGAAGACCAGCGTGTCTGGAGACGAGCGGTCAGAGATCGAAGGGCCAGGTCATGAAGGGCCAGACTGAGGGGTGGTTAGGGGTCCACTGCGACCCAGTGAAGGGTTTGGGCGGAGGCAGAGACACGAGCTTGTCCCACAGTGCGCGTTTGAGTCTGTGCCCCAGGAACCACTTCATTATTTAAGGTGGCTCCTGAGCACCGGCCCGCCATGGTTGGGAGGGGACAGTGATGAGTGCTGTGCCCTGCTGTGGGGACACCTCCACTGTCTGCGCTTAGGCTGAACCACGGCCCCCGTCACGGTGGGGAGAGGCCCCAGGCCCCTGAACCATCTTCCACTGTCTCCCTGAGCGTGTCTATCAGCCAAAGGGCTGTGCTTGTGCGAGACTCGGGAACCAACCGCTCTGGGTCTCTCAGTCGGGAAGCTGAGAGCTACGGCTCCTGCAGCTGTCTGGCTGGAAGACGAACTTGCTACTATAACTTTTGCTCCTACTCTTCTCACCCCCTGCATTTCCACCTCAGTGATTCATGACTAAGACGCCCCAGCCGTCTTCCCTGGAGGGCTGGGGACTCCCCTCCTGTAGCGGACAGTTTCCTCTTCCTCATCATGGGGCACAGCAAGGAGGCAGCTGCTAGTGCTCTGTTTTCAAAAGAGGGCTGCTCCCCCCCGACCCCGCACTGTTAGCTGGCCTGGCTCTTTGCATATTAGTTATGTCATTTGGCATCATGGAAAAGTGGCAGCTCTGTGATCAAAGGACTCACAGTCACTTTCACAAAATGAGAGGTGACAGTTGTACTACTGCCGGGGAGCTGGGGGGGCCTGGCCCGAAGAAGGGGGCGCCATCCCAGGGCGGGTGGAAAAGCGATGGGAAGGGCGGCCGGAATCCGGCTTCCAGTCCCAACTCTGCGCTTTGCCGACTCCCTGGCCTGGGGAAATCACCAAATTTCACTGGTGATTAGTTCCCACATTGGAAAAATGAAACAAGGGTGTTGTGAAGCCCAAGTGCTTTGTGAAGATAACACTAAAGATGCTTCTAGATACAGATACGGAGGAGCCAAAGCAACCAGACAAGACAGCAAGGTAGTGGATTGAGCCAGCAGGTTAGATGGCATTAAGTTATTTCTTAAAAAAAAAAAAAGATTTTATTTATCTATTCTCCCATCCAAGTACTAACCAGGCCTGGCCCTGCTTAGCTTCCGAGATCAGACGAGATCAGGCGCATTCAGGGTGGTATGGCCGTAGACTATTTATCTATTCATAAACAGAGGGGAAGGGAGGGAGAGAAACATCAATGTGTAGTTGCCTTTCACATGCCCCTCCCCCCACTGGGGACCTGGCCTGCAAACCAGGCATGTGCCCCGACCGGGAATCGAACCTGTGATCCTCTGGTTCAAAGGCTGGAGCTCAATCCACTGAGCTACACCAGCCAGGGCTAAGTTATTTCTCTTTATCTTGGCTGCTAATAATCATTCGGGCTATTGATTCTCATTCAGAACTGGCTGACTTGAAGCCCACAGCAAAACTTCTTGAATCCCCACTGCACCCCCCACTGAAATGGAGGTACAGCCGTGCGGACAAGAGCAAGAACTTTCACCCCCCGCAGGTGGGGGCTCACTGGTGTTCACCGTGGAAGCCGTTTGACAGCATCTCTGCCACGGAACCTGCACGTTCCCGTGCGCCCAGCACTCCCTCCCAGGCGTGTGCCCCACAGAGATGCGTGCAGTAGGAGACAGGCGCTGAGGTGCTCGCTGCAGCACGGGTCCTCGGAGTCCTAAATGGGAAGCCAGGCTGACGGTCAGCCACAGAAGAACGGGCGCAGTGGGCTTGCCCGTTAAGGGGTAGCACACAGCAATAAAAGTAAACAACCTACAGCGACACACAACAGCAAAGATGAGTCTCACACACATACTGTGAGCAAAAGAAGCCAGACACAGGGAGCACATACCGTTTGATTCCACTTACATAAAAATGGATAAAACGGGTGGAATGTCTGCGCTGTTAGAAGTCAGGGTGGCGGTCACCCTTGAGGGCACAGTGGACGAAAGGGAGTGGGAGAGGGCTTTCCAGGTGCTGGTAATATTTACCTCCTTAATCTGGGTGCTGGTCATTCAGGAATATTTGAATTGGGACCATTTATCAAGCTGTGCTTTTTCCATATGTTTATTCTGCCTCAATAGAAAACAGAAAAGAAAACTCACTTCTGTATCTCACCAATGACATCAGGGCCCTTGACCTTTCTCGAGCACATGCTGGCAAGGTGGGGGGTCAGCCTTAGCAAACCTGAGGGCCCGAAGCTGGGGGGCCAGTTTCCCGCAGGGAGAGGTGGGAGGGGGCCTGACCACATGGGGTTCCGTTAAGAACAAGATGTGGGGGATGGGCCAGGTAGGCAAGGGACTCCGCCCAGGGCACAAACCATAGAGAGTGACACTGTACACTCATGTTTTTGACCCAAACATTTAGGAAAAATATCTTTCATTTTAATTTTTTAAATTCAATTATTTATTTATTTATTTATATTTAGATACTTGGTTTTTGCATTATCAAGGAATTTTAGCATTTATTTTCAACATATTATGGTACAAGAAATTTTATATATCAAATAAGTAACAAAGCAGAAGAACAGATACAAGGTACCAGAAATTTTAAAAAGAATTAAAAACATTTATATAGATACAGAATTAGTACCACCCATGTATAATGCGCATCCTTATTTTTCCCTCCAAAATTTGGGCCAAAAACTGCATGTTGCACACGGCAAAATACATCCCTGGAGAGCGCAGTTCTCAGTGAATCGCAGTGGGCCGTCTCGCTGACCCCCACCTG